AGTGGAGGTCATCCTCAGCATGGTGGTGGCATGAATGCGGGTGAAGGCTCCGAGCCCGAGGACAAGCAGGTAGAAGTGAATCTGGGAAGGCTGACTGCTGGGGCGTTGCGGATTTCCTCCGTTCATGCGGGGAAACTTCAGCAGAGTGCGGGAAAACTTGTGAGTCCCTCTATTGCAGAAGCCGACAAGGGGGACAAGGACAACCAGAAGGAGAAGAGTGCTGTAGTTGAATCTGCGGCGGAGCAGGAAAAAAAGGAGGAAAGTAAGAAGTCTTCAGCAGGTCAACATGGCGTTGGCGACCAATACCAAAAGAAATCGTCGAAAAAGAAGGAGCAAGAGAGAGAGTACGTTCGTCTTTTCGAGCCGTCTGCTGCAGTCCTGAAAACGCAATTAGAACATCAGGAGGAGACGAACATTGCCAAGCAAGTTGGGGACGCCATGACCAACTGCATCGATTTTCTGAAGGATCAGACGCACTATCCAAAGTTTACCAAGATGAAGCAAGGCCAAGTTTTATTACCTGGAGGTACCGACGCGTCGGCATTGACTGGGGAGGAAGCGAATCAAAAACTCATGGAAGAGCACAAGAGGCAACAATTGGAAAAAATCGCGTCGCAGTTGAACCAGACCTCTTCTGTTAAGGCTCGTCAATACTAATTCAAGGCATTTTCCGCCCAATAGATACTCAATATTCATTTCTACGCACAAGGCATTTTTGTTTTTCCCTCTACCTTCCTTTTTAGGATTGGAAGAAATGCAGACCACAAGAAATGAATTGCTTCGAAGACTCTAATTCAGGTGGCAGAGATTCCTCAACATCTGCTTCCGGTGGTGGCAGAGCAGCTTCCTCGACGGTGCATAATCCGATATTGGACCGTGCTCTGTCTCAGGTCGGCTTACATCCGACCGAGGTGCAACAAAAATATCGAGAGTCCAGGCGATCAACGACTTCTACTCTTGGTGGGGTGTATCTGGATGACGATAATGAAGATGGCGCAGTAAAAACATCATTAATATCTACTAATGCGAATATGTTGTACGACGCTGGAGGAGGTACTCCGAACAAAAATACAAGAAAGTGAGGGTCTACTTCTTCAATTTCAGCAACTGATCGTTTATCCCAAGCTTCTGAAAAAGTTTCCGTCTTTCTGCAGAAAGCCTCTGAACAGACAGAAGGTTGCTTACCGACTCGCGAAGCTCTCTTGCGCTCCATGGAATGTCCAGACCCGGACGATGAGAATCAAAACCGTTTCGTTATCCTCATCTGCGAGTTGCTGGCCATCTTCCGGCAATTCTCAAAACCCTGCTTACCAGGTGCTGGACAAGATGGAGGTTCTCCTTCGGAAGATGCAGAGACGAATAGAGGGTCTCCTGGGTCTCCAACTTCTAGAGCTTCTAAAAATGCCAAAGCTGCAGGAGGTAAGGGAAAGAGTTTGGGTACGTCCTCTTCGTCGGACGCGATCGACGAGGTTTCGAAAATCAAAGAGGACAAAATCACAAGGGTTCTGCGACTGCACGAAGCAAGAAACGACTCCGCGATTCACGAAATTTTCTCACGCAAAAAACTAGATAGAAGTAGCAGCTGTCCTCCGACACTTGCTGAAGAGGCAGCTGTTGACGCACAAGTGCTGCTTGGAGCTGCATCTACTCCTGAGACACTGGGGAAGGAACTCAAGACTCTGAAAGTCGAACTGGAGGAGAAGAAGGACATTGAGAAAGTAGGCACAAACGTCTCTAGAAGAGGCTCAAAACTCGAAAAATCTCAAACTGCCGCAGTGGATATTATATGGAGGCCTACTGGCGATCTTGAGGACAATCATGCGGTAAAGCTTGACGAGGCGGAGACGACCAGCCCTCGTCAGGCACAAGAAGAGGCAACTTCAACTCCCTCTAGCAAAATTGGCATTTTTGAGACAACTGCAACAGGAGTCACTTCTTCAGCTTCTTCTGCAACAATGAAGTCTTCGCCTGCTGCTCTTGAGCGGGAAAAGCGACGCATGGAATCAATGGGGAGGGAGACTTCGGCAAAAGCACGGAAGAGCACGAACGTGCACTCAGGTCCAAACGTTGTGAGCCACTCTACAAGCGTGGCACAGGCATCAAGCACGGCCACTTCTGCAACAGCGACTCAGGAAATCACGGTGGAAGCGGAAAGAGAAACCCCTCCAGCTGCAACTCCTGCGCAAGAGGTTACTCCTGTTCGCGTGTTTCGAAGTAGCAACAGCATTACCTATCGAAGTAGCAACAGCATTACCTATCGAAGCAGCAACAGCATTACCTATAAAAATCAACTTCTGAACAACGCTACGAAGGAAGTCGGAGTTGTGAAGAAGGACATCTCCGATCTCATCTGCAAGAACAGGAAAGAAGAAGATGCAAATGCAGTTCTGGTACCTGATGATGGCAAAGGCAAGGATACAACAACTCGAACTCTTGGTAGTGCGGACTACAGTGTGAATGGTGAGGCGCCAAGCAGCGGCACAAGTGTAGTCGCACCTTCTAGGCCCACGTTGGAGGACGCCAAGAGCTCACCGGCTCGGCGTCCCAATGCAGCTCAGAGGGAAGCAAGAAGGTCTTCGAGATCTCAGAAACGGAAACGGGGAGGCAAGAGCGTGGCGCAGCAAAGTGCAGCAGCTGTACCGAGCAAATCGCCAACCTATTCTCCGGCACGAGTGTTAACCCCTAGTGCTACTAGTACGATCATATACCCGCATTACATGAAACCCTTAGGTGCTAGTGGGGTTCCCGGATTAAGCTTAAAATACCAGCAAAGTTCGACTATAACATCTGGAGTTGCTGTTCGAACATCTTCTACAAGTACAGGATCAACATTAAGTGCTGGGGGTGACTCGTCCTTGACAGCAGCAGGGTCCTCCTTAACCGCAGCAAGCAGAGTAGGACCTCAGCACGGCCAACAGCTCACGTCTGAGTTCAATCGGCTTCCTGGCGTTATCGCGGTTTACCCAAAAGACTTGGGGCCCATTGACGTGCCTCCTTTGTTTGTCGTCGAAAAAAAGATGCAGCAGCAAAACGATCTACGTGCAGCTGCCCTACAGGATACCGAAAGGAATAACGAGGCACTGGCAGAATCCTCGAAGAAGAAAGCCGGTCTGCAACTCTCGAGCAACAGTAAGTCTACTACGTCTGCTCTTGAAGCTAGTCCTGCTCACAGGGCTATAATTCCTCCAACAACACAAGCTGCACAGGTTACTGCGATTGCCTTGGAGGAAGACGAAACTACTTTAGTTCCTACGAAAAGCAAAAAATTGAGGAGCCCAAAATCCCGCTCGCGAGGTCAAAACGAGACTGCTGAGAGCATTATTAGCGCTCTAGCGCCTCCAACGATCGCAGTAAGGACAACACGAAAGTCGGAGGCTCTTAGGGCGACTTCAGCGACGAAAAGACGGTCCAACAGTCAGACGGACCCGGGAGACACCCGGACACCCTCCCGGGCCCCAGAGGAGCGGATTAGCAGTAATGGGAGACCTCTGTCGTTGCGTAGATCACGTAGTCCAGTGCAGAGAGCAGAGTGGATATGATATGGTGTATGCGTATCTACGGTCGAAAGAGCAGAGTTGATATGATATGGTGGACGCACATCTACTTCTGGGGAAAGAGCGGAGTGGATATGACATGACTTCTTAGGAAGCGGCATCTTCGGGGGAAAGAGCAGAGTGGATATGATATTTTCCCTACATCAATTCATTTTCCCTACAACGAGAATACGTGGGCCAGTGAAAAGAACGGATCACAACTTCTTAGAAAGTACTTCAATGGAGTTCGCAACATACTTAATACTTGCAAAGACGAAAGCGAGAGCGAAGTACACTTACAAGAATACTAGAGGTAGAGCAACTGATTATCTGAAATTAGAAAGAGAAGACTAGGCACAGTTACAGCAGGAGCACTAACATGTCATAGAGAAAAACAACAAGGTTGCGGAAAAGAAAACGATCACTTTTTTTGAATTTATCGAACTCGCTTTTTGAACTATTCGAACTCATTTTTTGGAAATGGCGGGTCTTGCAAAGGCAAGTCTGTAAGGCTGTTACAATCTAAAATTTCATTCATAAGTAGTTCTTGATTGTCACGACAAACCGGTGACTCAGAAACCCACTCCTACTTGGTGACAAATTCAGAATGATGTAGAGCAGCAGACGAGGCGTTAGTTTTTTCTATACTCTGGTATTTCCTAGGATATTGTTCGTTTGTGTTACAGATTTAGATATAGTAGTGAAAATCAAGATAATGGGAGCTTATTTTTTCAAACGCAATCACAAACGCATAATCATAGTCAAGATAACACGAGACCAACGAAGGGCCTTGTGGGTCGTCCAAATCATGGCGGCAGAGGCGGACAAGCATTTGGATCCGACGAGGACTCTGCCTGTTTTTTTGAAGAGACACGGACACCCCAAAAAGCCGGTGGCGATGCTTCTCCTTTCTCAAGAGTCTCGTACCGTAATATGCCATGGCTCATTTTTCGGGTAGATGAGATCGAAAGCGCATTCAAGAAGACCACTGAGAAGGTAGCGATGTTTCTTCCTGAAATATTCTCTGTTACGTGAGTTAGAGTTTCTGACCTTATACAACATGATATGGAGTGAACACGACCATAGGCATATTAGCATAAAGAGTTGTGTACTAGCGAAGATCTTCTCTGGTATCGTAGTATTCAAAGTCTGTGGCGGCCGACGTCGAGAGGTGCTGAGTGCAAGGCTGCGTCTGTTTCCGTTTAAATTCTGTGAACTAGCAAGAGCAGTTGTTGAGATACGTGAGAGGGTCAGGAGTTCCAACGGTGAAGCTCAAGCACATTATCATGTGTCAGATAATTTCTGTCGAGGCTAGAGTCTGTTGGAGACCCAGTCCCTGTTATATAATCAATCGGAATAGGTTTAGGTGGCCCTTCTCGGCACGATGAATGATGAATGTTCTATCTTGCTTCGTCTTTCTTAAATTTATCAACTCCAAAAGGTTTATTTTTTTTTCGAATTTTCTTATTTACGAAGAGTCATCCTCTTGCACCGGCCTTCCCCAACCTATAAATATGGATATTCCCTTTGTTTCCCATGCTGTTCCTTGTTGCCCCGACTATAATATGACCTGATCCTTTTTCTGCTTACCATTTCTATCTGCTTTCATATCTAAGATCTTGATAGATTATCTCTTTGTCATCTTTACTTCAAGAGGATAAAAGTAGAAGTACACACCGTTACCGATACCCTTTAATCATATTCTCTTTGCCTGAGACTACTAATTTTTCTGTATGATCGGCGTTTTAACAAAGTTCTTGATCTTTTTGTATAGACGTTCTAGCTTTAGCGCATTAGAAAAGTCTTAAAATATGACTATGTCTCCCTCGTCTTCTCCTTCCTCAAACAAGATGAGGGGCACGAGTGTTTTGGTGACACTGCATGCTGTGGAAAGACGAATCAGCGATCGTCGCATAGACGAAGATCGAGAATACGTTGGTAGGATAAACAACCACGACTTGCGTCCAAATGATTCGATCGCCATCAAGCAAGTTACTCTGGGTAGTGTCTTTCGGATGGCTTTTTTTGAAGATACGGACAAACAAGATAGGGCTAGAAGCGGTGCCCTCAGCAGTCCTTGTGGCAGTGGCGAGAAGACTATATTAGAAGACGATGATGTGCACTATGGCGACGACAACGTCAGCATTTCGGCATCTGAAACAGGGTCGCTTTCTGCTTCCTGTTTCCCATCCAAATCCCTCAAGCAAGTGCAAGCTCCTGAGTCGAGTCATCCTCGCGCGCCTGTTGCCCATCTGCGCCTCTCGATGCGTGAATTGGCTAAAACGCGCGGCATAGACAAAGAGTGGCATCTTGCCGCAACTACAGCAACAAGTTGTAAGACTTCTTCTCCTAAGAACATACCGCTCAACATCAGGCCTGCAAGTAGCCGTGCAACGTATTGGATTTGCCTATCTGTGAAGCCCTGTAGTAGTACAACTTCTTCTAAGACTGCGATGACGCGGCAAGCGGTGAATGACGTGAGCAAGAAGATATCTTCTCGAGGATCTACGCCTATTTCTTCTCCACAAAAGGGAAAGTCTACTTCTCCGATGTTGAGAAGACCTGTCGTCGAAGTCGACCAAGCTGCAGTAGAGGTTGTACACCCTGCTATTCAAAATGTGAAACAATTTCCTCGACGTCTCCGTCAAGACCCACAAGTTATTTCACCTAGTTGTAGGAAAGGCATTTCTCCTCGCAGGGTACTGAAACTGTCCTCCTCTTTGGCTACGCCTCAGTCGTCCTCGACTTTGCAGTTCGCTAAAAACCGCGGATCACAACCTTATGGTTCGCGTCCACAGGGCTTTCTTTTTTCGCCAGCTACAAGTGGCGCTGGTAAACTGGTTCTTGGTGGACGGGGACACGACCAGAAGAAGCGACGAAGCTTGACGGAAATAACATATAGTGGTAGTACTAGAGGTTGGACAACTAGCAGTGGCACAAATAGTTCTTCGAATAGTGCGAATATGAGAGTAAAGTTAAGGCTTGAAAGTTGACATCTCTATGCGCATCTCTATGGCTTCTCCCAGTAGGAAAGCCATAGATATGCGAGCTAGAGACGCCAACTTTCAGCCTCTAATAAAGAATGTCATCGCTTCGCCAGCAGAGATAGTGGGAGGAGACAAAAGTCCTGAGGAGAATTCGCTAGCCCTCGTTCCTATAGTTGCTCCGGTGGTTCCTTCAAAACAGCTCTGGTTCGGAAGGGATAGCACTAAGACGACAGATCTAGCTCATCTCCGACTCTTCAACGTATGCGGCTTTGTGAGGCCTCTAGACGACGCCTGGAGTGTGGAAATGTCTAGCCTGCGGATCCGGTCCGCCGTTGCTGCTCTAGACTCGCTTCTCCAGGAAAAAAGATCGTGGATCGAAAATGAGGATCTGCAGTGGGTAAATAAGGAGGAAGAAGCTCTAGCTGTAGATATACAAGGTAAAAATTGGGGGATGCAAGTACAAAATCCTCAACAAACTTCTAGTACTAGGAGACAAGAACTTGATCTTCATGAAGTCGAGTTTGAACAACTAGGTTCTCCAACAAGCCTGCATCTGCCAGATACCATCGTCAAGGCCCTAGAAGACTATATGAACGATCTAAAGATGGTGAACCTGAAATTACCCAACTTGAAGACGCCATTTCCAATGGGCTCGGAAGCTGGCTTAGTTGCGGGTTGCCGAGAAGATCTCCAAAATAATGCTCTTTCTTGTCATGCGGAAGCAACGACGTTAGTCTTTTATAACGAAGAAGAGCGATCAGCTGAAGCCGGTGTTGATGAAGCTGGCAACGCCGACCCACTGGTCGCAACTGACGAGCTTCTTGTTGCCACAGTCGAGAGGTATCCTACGCTTACGCAGTTTGCAGATGACCAAATCGCCTTTGGCCGTGATCCGTGCTTTTCCTCCTCGTCCGCCTCCAGTAGTGCAGACGAAGGGGCGGATGAAATAGTCGAGCAGGTGAGAGGACGCGTACTGACTGCCCACAATGCCGTAGATCATGAAGCAGGGCAAGTAGAAGAGGATGACAAGCATAAGGTCGCCAAACAGGAAGAAGAAGAAGAAGATGATGGGCTCACTGAAGCTCCATGGAGGACGTGGTCAGCATTTTTAGGGCCTTTTGCCGAGATGATATTAGGGCAAGAAGGGCCCCAGAGCCTCCAAAGCAAAAGTGCTACCATCCAATTCTATCAAGATGGACCGGCGACCGCGGGTTCCCGGTCATCACCTCAGTCGCACATCCACAAGCCCTCGTCGAGTGCTGAGAAGCCAAAGTCGAACGTGGAGGCCCTAGGGACGCATCATCACGATCACCATTCGCATGCAGAGAAGGCAGGCACCGCACATCATTATAGCCGCTCGCAGGGAGAGAAGATGGAGGCGCATCAGCATAGCCACGCGCATGCTCTAGGGAAGACGGAGGCGCATCAGCATAGCCACCCGCATGCGGTAGGGAAGACGGAGGCGCACCAGCATAGCCACGCGCCCAACGTAGATGCTACAGCGCAGCGGCACAGCCATTCACATACAGAAAAATCCAGCCCACAGCATAGTCACTCGCATGAACAAGACAAGACGGCCACGCACGCTTCGCATCACGAGGCGCCGGCAGAGAAGGGGCACAGCGGTTCACACCATGAGGACGCCGCGCAACATTCGCATCATGAGACGCCCGCAGCGCAGGGGCACAGTCACTCACACAACGAGGCCGGGCAGCATTCGCATTGCGAGGCGCCCGCAGCACAGGGGCATAGCGGTTCACACACCGGGCCCGCCGCGCACCATTCGCACCAGGAGGCGCCCGCAGCACAGGGGCATGGCAGTTCGCATACCAGGGCCGCGCACCGTTCGCACCAGGAGTCGGCCGCACCAGCGCACTTGCATGGCGGGTCACGCCATGAGGCTGCTGCGCATCAGCCTGGTGTGCCACACCAAGAGAAGGCAGAGGCGCATCGGCATAGCCACTCGCACAGCGAGCACGCCGCAGCCCATCACCATAGCCAATCACATGAAGAGAAGGCCGACGCGCATCGGCATGGCCACGCGCATCACGAGCACGCTGCAAAGCATCAGCACAGTCACCCACATGTAGAGAAACCCGAGTCGCACCGGCATAACCACTCACACGGCGAGCACGCTGAGGCACATCAGCACAGTCACCCGCACCATGAAGAACACGCTGCCACCCATCACCACAGTCACTCACAGCATGGGGACGGCCGCGCGCACCACGAGCATCACCACAGCCACCCGAAGCAGGGGGACGCCCGCTCGCACCATGAACACCACCACAGTCAGTCGCAGCATGGGGACGCCCACTCGCACCATGAACATCACCACAGTCAGTCGCAGCATGGGGACGCCCACTCGCACCATGAACATCACCACAGTCAGTCGCAGCATGGGGACGGCCACGCGCACCATGAACATCACCACAGTCAGTCGCAGCATGGGGACGGCCACGCGCACCATGAGCATCACCACAGCCACCCGAAGCATGGGGATGGGGACGCCCACTCGCACCATGAACATCACCACAGGCAGTCGCAGCATGGGGACGACCACGCGCACCATGAGCATCATCATGCACACCGGGCTTCTTCTTCATCAACCTCTGCAGGAGAGATACTGTTCGGCGAAGATCCTATGAATATCCAGCGCCGTATGGAATCCTTAGGTTGTGGCACGGTGGCTTCTCAGCTATCCAGGGTGCACGGAGACTTAGGGGACCTGCTAGAAAAATTGGCAGTTCGTCATAAGCGCATAGTGGATGAAGATGCGGATGAAGTAGAAAAGATGCTGGTAGAAAACGCAGCAGACCCAAAAGGATCTCCAGAAAAGCTACTTAAAGAGATGCAAAAGGATCTGCATTTTTTCGACACTTCTACGACTAGTAAAAGGCCAGGTCTTCTTCATGCGGTAAACACAAAAGGCAGCCAGAATAAGCAACGTGGAGGTTCAAAAACGGAGTTGGCGGCTGTAATAGAAGAGGAGATTTCCGGTCTGCGTAGACTGACACAGAAATATCATCATATAGACCTGTCAGGAGCAACCCCTGACCTGCCTATGCTAACACTTGGACGTCCCAGCAATGTTGGAGGCCCTGAAGACACAGACGTCCGTGGAATGCTACAAGCTGCCTCTCCGAATGAAAGTTCTTCTTCAGAGGACCTCGAAGAAGTGGATGATGCTGATGAGGACGATGCCTCTTCGGTTTCCTCAACAATGACCCACTTGCCGTTTATGTCCCCCTTTTGCTGTAATCTAGTGGAGCAAACGAGCGTAAAGGCTTCTAGGAGGGGGCCGCGGGATAGGGATACGCAAGACAACTTCTCGTCTGAAGTGGAGGATCTGCTTCCCAAAGATGATGTTGACGCCCACGACCTTTTGCCCGTTAGAAGCAAGTACTACAGGCGTAACTTCAAACGCTTGCAAGCTTCTGGGGCTTTTCGCTACACTGGTGTGCATCCGGCGGATTTATTCGACAAAGATGGGCTGTTCCGACCCACGGCTTTAGACTGGAAAACTGGCAAGCATGATGCAGTTTTAGCCAGGGAGCATGAGGACGAGGCTAGAGAGCGGAAGAGGCGGCAAAGGCTCTTTCTCCTAGGAGCTGAACTGACGAAATTGCGGAGGCAAGAGCAATTAAAGGCAGCAGTAACTGCAGGGGAATGCACGGAGGAGGATGAGAAGTCGGCCAAAGCGAGATCAACAAGAATGCAAGAAGTTTTGGCTTATGCAGAGGTGCTGAGAAAAATGGGCATTCATCACAAGAAGGGAAAGAGCAGGATGAAAGGTACTAGAAGTGCTAGATTTTCTTTGTTTTTGCTTGTGATGTGCATGTGGAAGTGCAATCTTGCTTCAGCTTTAGTTACCGTATTTTTTTACTCGTCGCCTTAGAATTTTCCATGTAGCAAAGGTGCCATTTACCGTGACTACTTCCAAGTAGTTCATGATTACATGTCTTTTGTCTAAGCTGTACTGCATTGTCCTTTGCGTTTCTTTGAAGTACTCTTGTTTAAATAGCTTCAGAAACTCTCATTTAACGCCAACTCCTCAGGCCGCTCTTCAAGAAAAGCTTCATGGAAGCAGAAGCTCGCTTTGGGCGATGAGGATGACCATGACCACAGCGAACAAGATAATACTAGACCTTCAATAAAAGGCCTTGACGATCCAGATCGCTATAATAGTTCAGATCGCTACACTCCTGAAAGGCTGGAAGGGAACTACGATCAACGCCTGCGGGATATGTTCCTCAGACCCTTCGACACCTGGGGATACAAGGGCTTGCCCCACGTTTTTCCCAGGGAAGCAGTCCTGAAGTCCGTGGATCGAGTGCGGCTAGAAAGGGAAGTTAGAGGATTCCTGGATGATGACTTCTCCGGAGGTGAGGATAATATTAAGGGTTGGAAGTTGGTAGAGGATAGCATTGCAGATAATATTATGGGTAGCATATCAGATAAGGCTAAGGCTCAATACAACAATGCATTTCTGCAAGACATTTGTCCCAGTTTCTCTCTTGGGATTCTGAAGAAATGTCAGCAAGAAATGATTTTGGTATCTCTATGGGCAACATCTCTATGGTTTCTTCAAGTAGGAAAGTCATAGATATGCGTTCTAGAGCGGTCAACCTCAACTTTCAACCTCTAATAAATCAGATAAGGGAAAAATACTAGAAATGGCTAAAAATATGGGACGCGGCGGAGGCAGAGGAGATGCCGATCTTCGTCTGGAGGACCAACTGCTCTTCATACCAAAGAGACGAAAATCCCCGTCCAGAAGAGTATCTACTTCGGCAAAAAGAGGAATAAAGGCTTCTAAAAATACATCTTCTTCTTCGACTTGTCGGACGAGCAATAGCGCTTACTTACAACTGGCGAGCAGATGGTTTACCGTTCCCCCTGAAGAGCAGTATGAGTTCTTGTGGGAGCATTTTTCCTATCATTTGAAGGGTGTCGAGACTTCTAGAGTCCAAGGACCTGCAAGTCATATTCTATGGGCTCGCGCACGTGACTCTCTGCAAAAAGCGATTGCGAAGTTGTCTCTCTTGGACACAACTATGATCAATGGGCCGAAGGGTGTAGTCGGAGCTGCTGCGGCAAAAGGAAAAGGAAAGCAGCAATCTGGTGGTATCGGATTCCCGTCGTCAACGTCCCTCGGCGTTGTCGACGCTATGCTGCAACGTGCATGTTTAAGGTGTATGCAACAGCGACTGCGGTTGAACATGGACAGAAATTGGGCTACGACACTAAGAGAATGCTTCGATTTGACGCAATTTGTACGACGCAGTATACAAATGGCGGATGAGGAGGTACTAACTTCTAATACTAGCATTCGCATTGCATGTCGAATTATATGTTTATAAGACACGACTAGAAAGTAGTTGAGTATAATTTTTGTTTATGATCTAGGTTGGCTTAACAACGTCCATTACATAAGTACTTACATCCGTTTATGTAGAAGTACTTCTAGTACAACTAGTAGCATGACTTGTACCAGTATGACTTTGGTTTAGTTCTCGAAACTTAGACTTTGCTGTTGTTCGCTAAGCAACCTTGCATCTGCTACGCATCTATCGAGACCAAGACCGAAGAGTTACCACCTCTATCGTATCATGATTCATCATCAGATGAAACAAGTCCCATCAACCCAGTAGCAAACATTTTCTCTCTTTTTACTACGATTCTACTGTCGAGCATCCTTCATTTGTATAGGCTTTCCCTTTCCAGTATTCTCTCATACTAGAAGTTCTGCTAGAAGGCTCAGGTAGTAATTGCTCTTCTTGAGCATTTTCTCTCTTTTTACATCAGAGGGTTTCCCTTTCCAGTATCATTTGTATAGCCTTTCCAACTTTACTCTATCTGCTCTTTTTACCACGATTCTATCTGCTACTCTACATCTCGTTCAGATCGATGCGGAGGGTTGGCTCGTGGAGTGTCTAGAAGACTGCTTCCGCGCGATCGCCCACGATGAAGCGGCCATGTTTGAAGCCGTTTACAAAACTCCGTATATGATCGGATCTCAATCGCCCTTAGAAGATCTGAGTCGAGTGGAGCGTGCGCTTTTAGCGGCAGTTCGGGAGGCGATCCTCCTAAAGCAAAGTCTTCAGAGACTTGCTGGAGGACTGGTGGAAAGAGAAAGAGAGAATCCTCAGAAGGAAGGCACTGGACCGAATGGACCCAAAATAGTGACAGACGAACTCCCGTTTCAGGTTCTCGTGGATTTTAGAGGATGACGTAGGTGGGCCAGCTGCATGTTCGCGGGTTATAGTCAGCGCAAAATCAAAATGAGGAACCACGTAGGTATTACAAGAACTCAGACATTATTAATATACTGCAGTAATTAGTTTTTACAACTGAATACGAATACTAATTATTTACAAGTGTGGGTACATTCATTCATTCAAGTGCTTTTCTGATAATCTTGAGCGATTTGCAGCCAACTGAATACTCTTATTCAACAACCGTATCATCAATTGTTCAATACTCCTTGGATCAAATACTTATACTAACATCGCCATCTTCTACAACTATACTAAATACTCATGCAATCTGATTATCAGCATCATTCTGATGTTCTAATGATCATTACTTTCTCTGATCCTGATCATTACTTACTCTGATGTACACAATCCAAACAATATCAACAATAAGGGCTTATCACGCGTACACCTTCAACTGCTACAATGAATACTTGTTTGCTCGAATACTTGTGTATGTCTACTTAATCTTTGACTGATATTTTTTCATGATAGTCGACTGAACAAATCTGCGACAGAGGGTCTTTTGCACTTACGACAGTGCAATATACGATTGGTACTATTTTCAAGACCGACAAACTACATTGCACAGTGAACCAATGAATACATGAGGAGCAGGCGACGTAAAGAGAGGTCCCTTCCGTGGCAAAAGAGGGTATCAGCTGGATAGTTGTAGGTCCTTGAAGGTGTTCCAAGAAAATTGGAGGGGGCGATGGCAATACTGCTGCTGCTGCGGCCGTTAAACGCATCGCTGATACTCTCACTCGTCGTTAATGTGCGGCTTGCCTACGACCATGCGTTCCGCGAAGCTAACGTCGCTGTGCTGGGATCCAGCGGCAACACAGCGGACGGAGACCCCATGAGAAAATGAGGAATATCGCGTCCTCGAAGGAAATATTCAATTTTTCAATGAAGATCATGACCGGCAGCGCCAGAGCGACTGGGGTGTGCGTCGTGCGTCGAAAGATAAAGTGGCATTATCGAAGCGAATGAGGAGTTCGTTGTGTACAAAAGGTGAATGAGAGAAATCTTTTGGAGGTGTTGCGAAATAGACGAGAGTAAACTACAGAGTAAGAATACATCATCACGACCTTCAACGGCAATTATCGTCTTCTGGTTCTACCCAAGAAAATGCGTTTCGTCCGGTATCACAAAATCTACGACCGAGCGCCAGCTGGGAAAGATGCGCAGCCAAGTGGATCGTCTTCTTATGACACCTCTACAACGGCTCAATCGGAATGGATAGTCCAGGAGAAAATACATGGTGCGAACTTCTCTATCCACGTGACCGAGTCCGATATCCGTTATGCCAAAAGAGGAGCCTTTCTGGATTTCGATCAGGACTGTTTCAACGACTTCCAACGACTGGACGATGTACTGCGTCCTGCAGCAAGAAAGTTGTGGCAAACGTCACAGATATCGACGGCGCCTGACCAGCCTCCAGCAACGAAGCGAGCCTGTAAACAAGCGAGCGCCGCATCGTGTGGCGAAGCGTCCATTATGAAAGTGGCGATAGCTCTTCGCCTGGTGCATAGCGCTTGCTAGTCTTGGCCTATATTTGAACAAGGCCGGATAGGTGTGCAATTCAGCGACTTTCACGTAACTTTGTTGTATGGTGAATCGAGCATCAATATAATCGCCACCGAGAGCGATTCGCAGGAACAATTCTAAACATGAGCAAATCGCGATATATGGCGAGCTCTTCGGCGGTTACCTGCCGTCGGAGAAAGAGGCACAACTCGGATGGGACGCGCTGTTTCGCAGTAGGACAACGGCTGCTTCTCGGCAAGCATCTTGCAGCGCGAAAATTATAGCGTCTCGTGCTGTACAAGAGGGAGTGTACTACGCGAGTGATGTCAAATTCATCGTTTTCGATATTGTGGAATTTTGGGATAATTATGGGAAGGTGGGGCAAAAAGATGGAGAGCGAACTACGACGTTTCGTTTTTGGGATTACGACTCGGTTAAAGATTATGGACTGAAATTTGGATTCTGTTTGTGGTCCCATGCTAGTTACTTGGGGGACCGAGGTGGAGTGCACATGGGGGCGAGAGTCTTTGCGATTTTTTACGTGAAGTTCACAATAGAACTGCAACTGCTGATTCTCCGGATTGTTTTTACCTCGGTTTCTAAAAGGCCATGGGCTCGGCCGCGGGCTTTCTCGTAAGCGACGTACTGCTGCGGACGCCTAAGTACGCAGACGCGGCAAATTACGATGTCAATACCTTGCAGAGTCAGCTGGCGCTGAAACTGAATCCGAATATTAAGGCGAGAAACAAGCGCCGCGTGATTTTTGCGGCAATGATTTAAGCCAGCAAGAGGTACTAATCGCAATTATAGCATTGAAGATCTTGTTTTGAATTTCAGGCAATTATGGGACACTTGTATCTAAGCAGCATGCGGCGCTGAAACTCCTGGACAACCTCGCGGAAGGCGTGGTTATCCGGCCTGCGGGGGGTGCCGAAGTGACGATATTATGGAAAGTTACTAATTGTTCCATAGATAGTTCACTCTAGTCGGGTAACCCAGCAGTAAGTCCAATTGTTTTCTGTCCAAATCCCACCTAACATAAGCCTGGATTCAGAATATGGTACTGCAAAACCTGTAGTTGTCCATATTCCTACTTGATTGTCCCAAGTTCATTGTATCCTGCCGATCCAAGCGGCCTATTTTCATTTGATTGCCCCACGTTCATTGTATCCTGCAGACCCAAACGGCACGAAGGAGCTGCCGGTAGCGCGGTTCATGTTGAAACGGAAACCAGCACGCTTTTCAGAGGAGATCGACAATGTGGAGACGATGCATGGAGGTGAAACCCCGGAAGCAGTGTTTCGCACTCGGATCGCGCGTCTAGTCAATCTGAATCGTCTCGCATCAGTTGTGTCGAAGGCGCCGCCGCCGGAGGGTGTTTATGCAAGAGTTTTTACTTACTTACTTACTTACTTACTTACTTACTTACTTACTTACTTACGCGCTGTGGTAGAATGTTGAATTTCAAATGGAGTTTCTGAGGACACTGTCCTACAGACTTTTACGCACGGAGCATATCTGGTTTCTGATGTTGTCGTCGTGGTACACTCTTTCCTTGCCGCTACGCGAGGGTCTTTCGTGGAGACGCGCAGGAGTAACTTCTAATCAAACCACGCTACAGCAGAGGAATGGTCCGTCTGGACTGAGCAGATTGTTTCTGATTTTGCCGGAGACGTGTGGGAAGCTTTCTGGTCGTCGGGCTGCGATCTTGGGAGTGTGGATTTTATGGGAGTAGCACACGACGTAGGAGGAGCAGGTCTTGATACCTTCTTCTCTTACTCAATTTGATATCTTAGATTTTCTTGCTCAGCTACCAGAAGATCAGGGAATTCGACGTGCAACTTGTTTACTTTCACTGAGACTTGTGCCTCTGTTGAGCTTGAAGATACGAGTGAAGCAAGTAAATGTCTTGATGTGCTCGCGATATTTCCCTCTCATGCACAACGACATGGGTAACGAGTACGTGGAAAACGAGTGCCGCCGCGTTGTCGATAAGCGCTACGGTGTCGTGTCCTGAATCGCTTTGAGCATACTTACCAAAGATCGGTAAAGGCCGGGGCAATATTGTCCGGTGTAGCGAGGCTCATTTCAGTGCCTAGGAGGTGGAGGGAAAATCTCAGAAACTGGAAGCTCCGCTAAGATTAGAGAAGCAACTTGGCACACACCCAGCCCAGCCTGATTATACCGTGAGAAATGGGGAGTGCCCACACGGCGCATGTTGAGGACCGACGCCACCGATGGGACTCAGAAGATTCTGATGTAGCAACTAACCTGCAACATGGTTGATTATTGGCTGGAGGAGTTTCTTTTTCAAAAAATTGAAATTTCCATGGTTCTCTTCGAGCGTTGCTGGAACTTCCGAAGATTCTCGTTCATGATGGAGAGTTTCTTCTTCGCGTCACGACGCTCAACAGGATATCACGACGCTCAACAGGATGTCAGCGTGCAAAAAACATTCCTTCGCTCCCTCGTATTCGGCAAGATACAATGTGCATGACTGTTTCGTGTTCCGCCGAATCCGGTTTTCTTCAAATTGGCACAAGTCGAAATTCTGATGATTGTATAGAGCACAAGCGTTGAAAATTCAGACTTTGAATCAGAGGTTGGAGTCTTTTCACTTGGTAGAGAATGATGATCGTGATCCGTAGTCTCTATCAGAATCA